CTCTCTCTCTCTCTCTCTCTCTCTCTCTCTCTCTCTCTCTCTCTCTCTCTCTCTCTCTCTCTCTCTCTCTCTCTGTGTGTGTGTGTGTGTGTGTGTGATGTGATGCCCTTTCAGGAGACCTTCTGTCAAGCAAAAGTCAATGTGGAAGCTAGTTTCGCTTAACAACCGCCTGTCTCAATTTAATAATTGCAGTGATTCACTTAATAACAGTGGCCAAGGAGGTCGTAAAATGGGGCAAAATTGACTTCACCGTCTTTTGCCCAACGACAGTTTGAGGCTCTGTCGTGGTCGTTAAGTTGAGGACCACCTGTAATTGAACCTGCCCATTATAGTTGTCAAGGAGAGAAGCAACCTGTAATTAAGGAGAAACTTCCTGACAGTGAGAACAATTAACCAGTGGAACAACCTGCCTCCAGAAGCAGTGAATGCTCCAACACTGGAAGTTTTTAAGAAGAAACTGGACAGCCATTTGTCTGAAATGGTATAGGGTTTCCTGTCTGAGCAGGGGGTTGGACTTGATGACCTCCAAGATCCCTTCCAACTTTATTATTATTAATTATTATTATTATTATTATTATTACTACTACTACTACTACTACTACTACTACTACTACTACTACTACTATTACTATTTCATTAAAAAAAAACCATAAAACTGGTCACGTGACCAACGTGGCACTGAACAGAACAGAATTCTTTAATGGCCAAGTGTGATCGGACACACAAGGAATTTTTCTCTGGTACAGAAGCAGAAAGTCTACATAATATGTAGCACTGTTCTGGATTTTGAAGTGGGGGGAGGAGAGGGGGAGAAAGCTGAATTCAGGAATGTCGCAAGGATCTCTCTGGAAAGACCACACAATTTTGCTCTTTCCTCACAATCCAGACTGCGTGGGACTCTTCTCATTTGCACCACAGCCATTTTTTTCACTGGCAAAGAGCTCACCCCAAATTGAGAGAGATCTATTTCTTTATTTTTTTTATTTTAAAAAAGATGTTTTGTGGAACTACAAGGTCACACGCTCCGAAGAGGGATCGGATTGCTCGCTTTGGAAAAAACACAAAAGCAAATGCTTTCAAAGGTTGTCAGGATTCTATTTTGGGCTGAGTCGCCTCTTTGCGCCCTGCAATATTCATGACCGAATGTGACATATTTTGAATCGGCAAAATGGAGGCATTCAGGCAAGATTGCTTAACCAGGCCAGTAAAAGAACTTGTGGACTTCAACTCCCAGAATTCCTCAGCCAGCCATGCTGAGTGGAAAGGGAGAGGTTGCCAAGCTGAGCAATGCTGGCTTAGGAATTCTGGGAGTTGAAGTCCACGAGTCATGAGGGGGCCATATTTCCCCCATGCTGGCTCAGGAATTCTGGGAGTTGAAGTCCACAAGTCATGAGGGGGCCATAGTTCCCCCATGCTGGCTCAGGAATTCTGGGAGTTGAAGTCCACGAGTCATAAAAGGGCCAAGTCTGAAGACCCCTGTTCTATAGAATATATAAGGCAGATATGAGTATTTTGAGGAAATCTTGAAGGAACATTCTGGAAAAAAAAGAGTAGATAGAGGCCTAGTTCAGATTTTTGTGGGCTGCTTTGTGGCTCTGCGCCTGGAAGACACATAATTATCACTAAATGTAGAACAAGGGTAAGATTTCTGCTTTTTTCCCCCTCATAAAGAATGTAATACAGGTATGTAGTCCTAAACCAGGGGGTCTTCAAACTTGGCCCTTTCATGACTCGTGGACTTCAACTCCCAGAATTCCTCACCCAGCGTGCCTGACTAAGGAATTCTGGGAGTTGAAGTCCACCAGTCATAAAAGGGCCACGTTTGAAGACCCCTGATCTAAGGCCTGCATTCATATACAGCTAAGTCCTCGAGATATGAGCACAGCTGAGCCCAACATTTATGCTGCCAAGTGAAACATTTGTGGAGTGAGTTTGGGCCCATTTTATGACCTTTCTTGCCACAGTCGTTAAGTGAGTCATGGCCGTTGTTAAGTGAATCTGGTTTCCCCCACTGATTTTGCTTGTAGGAAGGTCACAAAAGCTGATCAGGTGACTCCGGGACACGGCAACCGTCGTAAGTATGAACCAGTTGCCAAGCGTCTGAATTGTGATCATGTAACCACAGGGGATGCTGCAACGGTCGTTAAGTGTGAAAAACGGTCGTAATTCACTTTTGTCAGTGCCGTTATACATTTGAACGGTCACTAAATCAACTGTTGTTAAGTCGGGGACTTCCTGTATTGCGATATGCTTGAGGAGTTACATTTCTGGTTTCGTCAGTTATGTGAAACCAGGCTAGGTGGTTTGTTTATGGTTTGATTATGGTTTAGGGCAGGGCTGTCCGAAGTCAATGGGCAAGCCAGGTTCACTTGACAACCGGGTCACTAACTTAACAACTGCAGTGGTTCATTTAACAACTGTGACAAGAGAGGTTGTAAAATGGGGGAAAGCTCCCTTAACAAATATCTCACTTCGCAAGAGAAATTTTTGACTCTGAATAGAACAGAGCTGGAAGGGACCTTGGAGGTCTTCTAGTCCAGCCCCCTGCTCAAGCAGGAGAACCTAATACCATCTCAGACAAGTGACTGTCTACTCTTCTTAAAAATCTGCAGTGATGGAGCGCCCACTATTTCTGGTGGCAAGCTGTTCCACTGGTTACTTGTCCTCACTGTCAGGAAGTTTCTCCTTAATTCCAGGTTGCTTCTCTCTTTGATCAGTTTCCAACCGTTGTTTCTCATCCTTCCCTCTGGTGCTTTGATGAACAACCTGACCCCCTCTTCCTTGTGGCAGCCCCTCAAATACTGGAACACTGCTATCATGTTTCCCCTATTTCTTCTTTTCTTTCGATCAGCCCAACCCAAGTCCCACAGCCGTTCTTTGTATGTTTTGGTCTCCAGGCCTTGGATCGTCTTAGTTGCTCTTCTCTGAACTTTTTCCAAACTCTCAACATCTTTTTTGTGATATGGTGACCAAAATTGGCTGCAGTATTGCAGGTGTGGTCTCACTAGGGTTTTATAAAGCAGTACTAATACCTCGTGTGATCTTGATTCTATGTCTCTGCTTATGCAACCCAGGATTGTGTTAGCTTTTTTGGCTGCCGCCGCACACAGCTAGCTCATGGTCAAGTGATCGTCCACCAGGACTCCAAGGTCGCTCTCACAGTTGCTGTTTTTGAGCCAGGTCTCGCCCAGTCTATATTTGTGCCTTTGGTTTTTCCTGCCTAAATGTAAAACTTTGCTTTTTCCCACATTGAAACTCATTTTGTTGGTCGAGTTGATGAAGATCTTTTTGGATCCTAAGTTTGTCTTCTGGGGGTGTTGGCTACTTCTGCCAGCTTGGTGTCATCTGCAAATCTGACGAGTTCCCCTTCTATTCTCTCAATTGTGGTTGTAAGTCAAGGACTACCTTTATAAACCAACTGCCTAACTTGACTGAGCCTATTTTTATTGTTACCGGTAACAATAACAGATTGACAGACTGCTTCCTTAAATTGATATGCTGACAATCTCACCATCAGACAACTCTAGGCTGCATAGAACGAACTATAAATGGCAATATCAAACATTTAAACAATATCAGCATGACCATTAACAGAGATAGGGATTGCTGCAGATGGCTATTAACCCAGCTTACACACTGATAGTCCTCAATTTATGTGACCATCATAAATAGGAACCAGTTGTCAAACACCTGAGTTCTGAGCGCATGATCGTGGGGACCTGCAATGGTCGTAAGTCTGAAAAGAGGGTCATAAGTCGCTTTTTCCAATGTTGTTGTCATCTTGAACGGTCACTAAACGAACTGTTGTAAGTTGAGGACTACTTGTAATGCAAAGGAACAAGAGCCTCTGTCAGGGACTGACTGGCCTCGAATCGTACAGTTTTGCTGGAACATCAGATACACACAGAGGATGGGATGGGATGGGATAGAACAGAATAGAATAGAACAGAATAGAATAGAATACAATAGAATAGAATACAATAGAATAGAATACAATAGAATAGAAGGATGGGGTGGGGTAGGGTAGGGTAGAGTAGAGTAAGTAGAGTAGAATAGGGGATGGGATGGGATAGAGTAGAGTAGAGTAGAGTAGAGTAGAGTAGAGTAGAGTAGAGTAGAGTAGAGTAGAATAGTGGATGGGATGGGATTGAGTAGGGTAGAGTATAGTATAGTATAGTATAGTATAGTATAGTAGAGTAGAGTAGAGTAGAGTAGAGTAGAGTAGAACAGAATAGAACAGAATACAAAATATGGAATGGAATAGAATAGAATAACATATAGAATAGAATAACATATAGAATAGAATAACATAGAATAGGATAGAATAGAATATAGGATAGCATAGGATATATAGAATATGGGGTGGGATGGGATGGGATGGGATAATAGAATAGAATAGAGATTGGAATTGAATTGAATATAGAATAGAATAGAATAGAATAGAATAACAACTTTGTCACTTTTGACTGTACACTAATCGGTATACATTACAATGAAATTCCATTGCATAGTGTACTGTTTTACTTGTTATACTTGTCCTATCTGTTATATCTTGGTACAGACCTTGGAAATTCACAACCAACCGCAGCATTTCTCAAACGATTCGAATGACATGCCACTGGCTAGCCTGGAAGACTCCCTCACCCTGGGCCTGTAGATAATGGGAACCATTTCCACCTCCCTGGCAGCAGAACCATTGCAAAGAGAAAGCAAACCAGTTTTTCCTGAAACCCCTGTTGCCAAATTGCAACTGGTTGCAAAGGATGCCAGGATGATCCATGGGTGGCATCTGGTGCCCACCAAGGAGTCCCAATTCCCTCCATGTCAAAGAGGGAGAAGCAAATTAATTTTCAGTGCCAAATCTGCCTTGATACCTTGCTTCTTTCTCAGGGATGTGCCATTTTGCCATCCCTTCCAATGAGGGTGTATCTGCTCTTTTTTGGGGGGGAAAAAATGGAAATGATTTTTGGGACCGAACCTGTACAGATAGTCCTCTACTTACAGTCACTCGTTTAGTGACCATTCAAAGTCACAAGGGCACTGAGAAAAGTGACTTAATGATCTTTTTTTTACACACTTACGACCACTGCAGCATCTCCTTGATCGTGTGATCGAAATTCGGACGCTTGGCAACTGATTCATATTTATGACCGTCGCAGCGTCCCCCCCGGGGGGGGTCACGTAATACCCTTTTATGACCTTCTGACAAGCAAAGTCAATGGGGAAGCCGGATTCGCTGAATGACCGTGTCACTATCTTAAGAACTGCAGCGATTCACTTAACAACGGTGGCAAGGTCGTAAAATAGGGCAAAAGTCACTTAACATCTGTTCATTTAGCAACGGAAGTTTTGGGTTCTGTTGTGGTCATAAATCAGGGTCTACCTGTAATATTGAAGTCAAGGCAACCCACCCCAAAAAAACAAAACAGTCGAGCACAGGCATGTATGGCCCTTTCCCACCTCCCTGAACCCTTTATTATTAAATGTATTTATTGTTCAATTTATACACAGGTGGTCCTCAACTTACAACGGTTTGTTTAGTGACTGTTCAAAGTTACAGCAGCACTGAAAAAAGGGACTTATGACCGTTTTTTTCACCCTTTCAGCCATTGCAGCAACATCCTCGCGGTCACAGGATGAGAATTCGGACGCTTGGCAACCGACTCATATTTACGACGGTCGCAGTGTCCCCGGGGGTCACGTGACCCCCCCCTTTTCCGATCTTCCAACATGCAAAGTCAAGGGGGGAAGCCAGATCCGCTTAACGACCGTGTGACTCGTTTAACAACCCCAGCAGCGATTCTCTTTAACCACCGTAGCTCAAAAGGTCGTCCAAGGGGGCAAAACTCACCGAACATGTGTCTCGTTCAGCAACAGACATTCTTGGGTGGGGGGGGGGTCCATTGCGGTCGTAATTCGAGGACCGCCTGCACCACCCATCTTGCAGTTTAGCAAAAGAATTTCTCAAAGGAGGCTGACTTTGCAGGGAGGGAAGGAAAGGGGGAGGGGAGAAGAGGCCCCTCCCGGTCACCTCATCTGTACTACATAGCCCATCATCCTCTGGCCTGGGTGTGCACAGACAGGGCAAGAGAGAAAACTCTCCCGCTTCTTTCCTCCCACCCACCCCTTGCAATAATCTTGCCCGTCCCCCGCCCCCCCACGGCAGAAGAGAGGGGAGGGTCCTTCCCAATGAAGCCCCCTCCCCAATTTCCATGCAGAATAAGAAGGGGGGGCTTTGTCCCAAGAGGGGAGGGGGACTGGTCTTGCCCGGCCCCCCCTTTGACAGACAGGTGTGATGGAGGTGGAGAAGGGGGGGCAACTAGCTACAAACACCCCCCCCCAAGGGAAGGGTCTCCCCCCCACTTCCAGCCGGGGGAGGGGGAGAGAAAGGCGGGATTCCGGCCTCCCCCCCCACCTGACTCCCCAGGGGAGGTGGGGGGGCTCCGGGAACTCTTTTTCCCCCTCCCGCCGGGCCTACCTGCAGATCCCCGCCCGCCGACTCCAGGAAGAAGCGCGCCCGCTCCTCCTCGGCCCCGGTCACGGCCACGAACTCCCTCAACGCCTCTTCGCGGTCCGCCATCTTGCCCGGTGCAACCGCCAAAGCGCTCCGCCCGCGCCGCCGCCGCCCGCCAAGCCACGCTCGCCGCTTCCGCCCGCCCTTGAAGGCGACTTCCGCCCCTCGCGCCCTTCCGTGGGTCACACTCGGAAGCCCTCCGAACGGAAACGAACGCCGCGCGCGGAGGTTCCGGACGGGGGATAAAGATGGTGGGGTTGAGGGATCGGAGAGGTAGATGGGTCGGTACTCGGATCGGCCGCCTTCGTCTCTGCTGCCTGAGGGGTCCTTGGAGCTCGCTGAGCTTGGTCGTTTTTCTTGCAGACGTTTTGTGACCCTACTAGGGAACATCATCAGTGCTAGAAGGGAGTGGGGTTTGCAGAGAGGAGGAGGAGGAGGAGGAGGAGGAGGAGGAGGAGGAGAAGAAGAAGAAGAAGAAGAAGAAGAAGAAGAAGAAGAAGAAGAAGAAGAAGAAGAAGAAGAAGAAGAAGAAGAAGAAGAAGAAGAAGAAGTAGTAGTAGTAGTAGTAGTAGTAGTAGTAGTAGTAGTAGTAGTAGTGTGGGGTCTTTGGTGCGCTCTAAACTTGCTTGTTTTCTTACAGATGTTTCATCACCCAACTAGGGAACATCATCAGTGCTAGAAGGGAGGAGGGTTTGCAGAGAGGGCTAGAGGAGGGGGGTGCAGGACGGGAGATTCCCTTTCCGTTCTCCGAGTTTGATTGTTTTCTTGCAGGCGTTTCATGAGCCAATTAAGTAACATCATCAGAGCTACTACTAGTACTGATGACGTTACCTAGTTTGGGTCATGAAACGTCTGCAAGAAAACCACCAAGCTCAGAGAGCACCAAGGACCCCACAGCCCTCCTCCTCCTCCCCTCCACAAACACTTCTCCCTTCTAGTACTGATGACGTTACCTAGTTTGGGTCATGAAACGTCTACAAGAAAACCACCAAGTTCAGAGAGCACCAAGGGCCCCTCGGGTCAGCCCTGAGCTACAAATATTCTCCTTTATTGATCTCTGCTGTCTGTCTGGGAAGTCGAGCAGTTTTATTCCCTGCGGATTTGGAAGGTGGCATCTTGAGAAAGACTAAGCTGTGCACCCACAGATAGGAGAAGCATCCTTTGTGTGGTGACCGATAAAGGAACAATATTTATAGCTCAGGATTGAACTGTGGGGTCCTTGCTGCTCTCTCTGAGCTTGGCAGTTTTGTTGCAGTCGTTTCATGACCCAACTGGGGAACATCATCAGTGCTAGAAGAGGAATGGGTTTGCGCTCCCCATTAGCACTGATGATGTAACCTAACTGGCTCATGAAACATCTGTAAGAATACGACCAAGCTCACAGAGTAGTAAGGACCCCTCAACACAAATGATGCTGGCCAACTGAAGAACACATTCCAATCCAAACCCAATATATTTGAACCGTATATAAAGTGATTTCTTCCCTATCCAAGAGTCTTCTTACCTTGTAGCTGTGGGAGACCTATCTTTTACTTGTGCATAAATAAAAAGATATGAATCGGCCTTCCTAGTTCCGATTCTTTTTTTGCAAAGGACATACTAGCCCAGTGATGGCGAACCTTTTAGAGACCAAGTGCCCAAAAACTCCGCCGTACCCGCTGGGCCACCCACCACCTCTATGGCCCACAGATCACCCAGGCAGCCCAGCAGCGCCATGGCGGCCATGCCGTCCACCCATGCCCCTCAGCATCATACGCGCGCAATGGGGCGCAAGGGCGGAGTCTTGTCCCAGCTGCCCGGCTACCATGTCCTTGGCTGCGCTGCTTCATGTGGGCCATGCCCACGGGCGACTCTCCTCCGAGGGACTGCTGGTGAGGAGGGGGCCGTGGGAGGAGGCAGGGATGGGGCGACGGTGCGTGTGACCACAGAGAGGGCTCCGAGTGCCGCCTCTGAGACGCGTGCCATAGGATTGCCACCACTGCACTAGCCTAAGAGTCTCGCCATGGTTTATGGCTAGCGGTTTATTCAGGCTCCTTGCTTTCCTCATTCATACAAGAGAAGCGCACAAACCTTCCAGTCACTGCCATCCCTTCTGTTCTTTTCCTCTCTCCTCAAAGAAGGATCTTGGAATCTATCTATCTATCTATCTATCTATCTATCTATCTATCTATCTATCTATCTATCCATCCATCCATCCATCCATCCATCCATCCATCCATCCATCCATCCATCTATCTATCTATCTATCTATCAATCATCTATCAATAATAATAATAATAATAATAATAATAATAATAATAATAATAATAATAATAATAATAATAATAATAATAATAATAATAATAATAATAATAATAATAAAAAAAGTTGGAAGGGACCTTGGAGGTCGTCTAGTCCAACCTCCTGCTCAGGCAGGAAACCTTGTATCATTTCGGTTCTCTATGTGGATTCTACTTCCAGAAGTCCATTCTGGGCTTGAGCAACAAAAAATTAGCTTCCGGTTCTGCCGAAGTGATGCAAACCGGCTGAATCCCACCACTGGATGGATGGATGGATAGATGGTGATAGATAGATAGATAAATAGAATATAGGGATGAGAGATAGATAGATAGATAGATAGATAGATAGATAGATAGATAGATGGATGGATGGATGGATGGATGGATGGATGGATGGATGGATGGATGGATGGATGGATGGATGGATGGATGGATGGATGGTGATAGATAGGATGTGCTCAAAGGGGCTTCCTGGAATATGGGAGGGACAGTGGTTCTAGGCGGTCCGGAAAGTTTATCGGATGATTAGGAAAGGGGTGTTGAGTGCGATGAAGGAGGGGGGAATCTGTATTGGGGTAGGATATAAAAATGTAATAATAATAATAATAAAGTTGGAAGGGACCTTGGAGGTCATCTAGTCCAACCCCCTGCTCAGGCTGGAAACCCTATACCATTTCGGACAAATGGCTGTCCAGTCTCTTCTTGAAAACTTCCAGTGTTGGAGCATTCACCGCTTCTGGAGGCAGGTTGTTCCATTGGTTAATTGTTCTAACTGTCAGGAAGTTTCTCCTTAGTTTCAGGTTGCTTCTATCCTTGATTAGTTTCCATCCGTTGCTTCTTGTCCTGCCTTCAGGCACTTTGGAGAATAGCTTGACTGCCTCTTGTTTGGGGCAGCTCCTGAGATACTGGAAGGCTGCTATCATGTTACCCCTAGTCCTTCTTTTCATTAAAGTAGACCTACCCAATTCCTGCAACCGTTCTTCGTATGCTTTAGCCTCCAGGCCCCTGATCCTCTTTGTTGCTCTTCTCTGAACTCTTTCTAGAGTCTCAACATCTTTTTTACATCGTGGTGACCAAAACTGGATGCCGTATTTATTTTATTTTTTATTTATTTTTTGGATTTATATCCCGCCCTTCTCCCGTAGGACTCAGGGCGGCTGACAATCTATTTAAAATACATACAAAACAATACAAATTTAAAATTAATTAAAAGGAATATTTAAATATTTGTCGAATTTTAAAATATAATTAAAACCCCCCTAAAAATTACCCTAGGCCAGTCCTGCAAGCTGGAANGAGTCATGAGGGGGCCATAGTTCCCCCATGCCGGCTCAGGAATTCTGGGAGTTGAAGTCCACGAGTCATGAGGGGGCCATAGTTCCCCCATGCCGGCTCAGGAATTCTGGGAGTTGAAGTCCACGAGTCATGAGGGGGCCATAGTTCCCCCATGCTGGCTCAGGAATTCTGGGGGTTGAAGTCCACCAGTCATAAAAGGGCCAAGTTTGAAGATCCCTGGTTTAAATATTTAAATATTTTTTCCTCACAGTCATGTGATCAAAATTCAGGCATTTGGGCAGGGGTAGGCAACCTCGGCTCTTTTATGACTCGTGGACGTCAACTCCCAGAATTCCTGAGCCGGCATGGGGGAACTATGGCCCCCTCATGACCCGTGGACTTCAACTCCCAGAATTCCTGAGCCAGCTATGCTGAGGGGAAAGGGAGAGGTTTCCAAGCTGAGCCAGGCTGGCTCAGGAATTCTGGGAGTTGAAGTCCACCAGTCATAAAAGAGCCAAGGTGGCCTACCCCTGGACCAGAGCAAGCAATCTCCAAACTTGGCAACTTTAAGACTTCAACTCCCAGAATTCCCCAGCCAACCATACTGGGAGTTGAAGTCCACAAGTCAGAAAGTTGCCAAGTGTGGAGACCCTTAATCTAGTGGTTAAGACACCAGACTAGAAAGTGAAGATTATGAATTCTAGTCCTGCTTTAGGCATGAAAGCTGGCTAGGTGACTTTGGGCCAATCACCAGGAGACGGTGAGTTCTAGTTCGCACCTTAGCCATCTGGGTGATTTGGGCCCAATCAATCTCTCTCAGGTTAACCCACCATGCAAGATTGTTCTTGTTGTGGGGAATATAGGAGGCATGTTGTATACTGTATGTCATCTTGAGTTGTTTGTAAAATATAATAAAAAGGTGGAATAGATTAGAATGGAACAGAATAGAATAGAATATAGGAATAGAATAGAATAGGAATAGAATAGAATAGAATAGAATAGAATAGAATAGAATAGAATGGAATGGAATGGAATGGAATGGAATGGAATGGAATGGAATGGAATGGAATGGAATAGTTTAGAATGGAATGGAATGGAATGGAACAGCAGAACAGAATAGAATATATGGAATAGAATGGAATGGAACACAACACAGAACACAGAACACAGAACACAGAACACAGAACACAGAACACAGAACACAGAACACAGAACACAGAACACAGAACACAGAACACAGAACACAGAACACAGAACACAGAACAGAATAGAAAATAGAATAATAATACATACATACTCAACTAGGTAATAGCATCAGTACTAGGCTATAGGAGCAAAGCAGATTGCGGTAAGTACCACCTGGTACACCACGAAATCTGAGTTCCAGCTGCCGAGAACTGAGCCAGGGAGAAAAGGGAAAGAAAATGTTTCCTGCAAAGAGGAACATCCGTAAGATTTTGAGACAGAAGGTCTGATGAAGGCAAGTATTGTTGATGGGAAAAGCCTGATGTGGACCTT